CAAAATTTTTATTATCATACTCAAGTAATCGCAGCTATTCTTAGTTTGAAAGGATCTGTGCCTTCATGTCTTCACTTTAACTTCTCTCCCACCAAAGAAAGTTACCTTAACACAATTAAGTCAGGACATTGAGTCAGTTGTTCCTGTTGCCTAGCTTTACCTGCATAATGAAAGAATTGTTCATTTAGTGTACTCGCACCATTAGTTTCATTTTTGCACTATTAATAAAGTGAGAACTTATGCATTCAATGATTTTTATTTGCTTCATACCCATGTTAAATATATACAAAGCTAATTTAGTTATGTACAAAAGTGTGCATCTTAAAAATTGTTAGGTTACAAACTTGCAAATCCTAGAAAAGTGCAAAATTTTAAAACATCTTCCATCATGCTGTACAGAAAAATCCATCATTAGCCAATATACACACTCTTAAAACATACTGATCAAAACAATAAGACATACAGTATATACTTAAAGCACCCAGAAGGGAAAAAAGATATTGCACAGAAGACTAACAGCAAGTTCCTTACAGTGCCTGAAGGCTCATCTTTGAAATTAGATATCTTCAACACTCCTCAAAACTAACACTTAACTTTAAAGAAAGGCATTTTTTGGCATTTAGAAATCCATTTGTAATCACATAATTGCACAATTTGTAAAAATTACCAGAAGATATGGTTAACTGTTGCTATAAGTAAGGCTTTTATTTCCCCCACCCCCATTAAGCTTTAGTAATTTAAACAAATGCTGAAGCATGTTCAAGTGTCTCACTTACCTAACCTAATCAAGAAAACCGAGTAGCAGCACAGTTTCCAACAAAGCCTGACCAAAGGGAGATAATTCTTAAAAGCAGCATTTCTCCACTCTTAGATTAGGCTGCTCCTGCATAGCTAAGGGTTGAATCAGAACACATGTAGCAAGTTTTTCTTGAAACATTTTTTCATGGCTTTAAGTAACAGCTCACATACAGCTACTTATGATTAAAGCAGTACGGTCAGGTACATGAGTATATTTTAAACAGTTGCTTCGATGCAAAAAAATATGGCTCCCTCAAGAGTAAATACTGACTAGATAGGAAGTTAAATAAATGAGAGGCCTCTAAGTCACACCTACAATAAATATGACTGGATGTTTTATAACTCAAGACACCTTAGCAGCTTTAAACCATAACCTCTACTGACAATCATGCTTCAAGGGCAGAAGATGTGTTATGAAATTGTGTCTGCACCGAGTCTAATCACAGATCTATGCTTGGGAAATACCTGCCAGGTTTCCCAAGTCCAGCAGGAAAAAAAAAAAAAAAAAAACACTAGAAAGCACACACAACTGGAGGAACTCTCTTCTGAAGAGCAGCGGTGAAACACCTATTCTACCTGGGCCATGTGGGTAAGTGGTCACTAAAAGAAAGAAAAAAAAAAACCAAACACAAACCCACCAGTTTTCGTCCAGCAATGCACAGCAAAAGGACGTGAACTAAAACCAACCAAATGATATCTTTGATTAAACACTAGAAACAGTTCCTCACCTATAGGGTGTTTAAGACCTGGCATCTGGCAGTAGTAAGAGGAAGAACAGCACTTGACTCAAAGTAACCTGTGCAGAGCATGCTAAGCTGCCACTCAAGAGGCATTTCTGCATTCAGGCATCTGACGGCTATGATAGTGAAGAAGGGGACGACAGTATTTTACCTAGTTTTATCAACTGCAGTAGCCTTTAAGAAACTCTTCCTTGCTTTTTTTTTTTTTTTTTTTTTTAAAAAAGCATGTGCTAACAATGGTATTAGAGATAATTTAGAAGAATTTGACTCCTTGGGATGGAAGGAAAGACATCTTCCAAACACTCCAGTTGAGTCTGACATTGGCACACAAGGAATTCACATGCATATGACTGCAAAAAAAATAATTATTACTCTCTCAAAAGGAGAAAGTACATCTTGCGTTACTGACTGGATTTCTGCAGTCTCAGCCAAATTTGCACAGTTTTAAAGCTATGCAAATTAATGCAATCTGTTACCAGACACCCTTTTCACTAACTCCCTGGTACTTACTGGGCTGTCACTGGTTTATTACAGCACCACATATGACTGTGCATTCCCCAAGAAACAACGTTCATGCTCAGCAAGAAGAATGAAAAATAAATTAGTTTGTACAAGTGCAGCACTTTGGCACGCGTCGTCTGAGAACGTTTTCTTTACTCATCTATAATATTGACTTTGTGGAGGTTTTGCTAATATGTGTGATAACTAGCCCAGAGAGAGCGTATGTTTGTACAGCTTAAGTCAGTTCTTAGCGTAACTTCCACAAGCAACCGACTACTACCAGGTGTCACGTTTACAACTGAAAGCTACAGAGCTGTTAAACAAAAAGCATGAAGAGCCCATTCCAGAAAGCACTCAACTACATGCTTAAAATCCCCAAGCTAAATGTATCCTTTCCTTAATGCTTTCATTTAACAGTATTTACTAGATCAGACCTTAGGTTCACATAAGATCACGTATCTATTTAAGCTTTTTTAGTTCTTTGAAAGAAAAAACAAATAAAGAAAAGAAAATGTTCACAGCACCCAGCCTCAGCATCTAACCTAGCCAGCAAGGTGCCTTTAGCAGTGGAAGAGGGGTGCCTTTAGGTGACAACGCAGAGCAGGAGGCTCCAAAGAGTCTGTTTAGGAGCTTATGGAGGCTGGTGGGAACACCAGCCACCACTGCTGCCTCCCTAGCTTTAAAGCTGCCTACCATACTGTAACCTGTAGATCGATAAACACTTCCAACTAAATACAATGCATACACAGTAGAAGTGTTTAAGAGTTTGGTTGCTGTATATACTTCCTCCAATCTCAAGTAACAAAAATCCCCAGGTGGGACTTAACAGGGGAAGGGTGGGGAGGAGGGATACAAGGTCTAGCGGAGTCAGGTATAACGCTCCCATCGCCCCAGGCAGGATTAAACACCTATTGCGCATTGTAAATAAAAATAAATTAATTCCTGCAGGCATCTTAACGTAAACTGCTATAGGACCACTACCAGTACCATACATGATTTTTACAGTGCAGAAACATAGTTCTTTGCACTTAACTTTAAGGACACAAAAATACAGCTTTAAAGAGGATCTTTATAAAACAGCCAACTCTCAACTATTTAAAGCCTGTAAAGATTTTGATACATCTGGTTTGTGGTAACATGTGTGATCTAAGGTAGGCTGGGGGAAAAAAGCTTGTTTGTATCAATGTTGCGGATTAAAAAATAGATTACAGATTGTTTTGCTAATCAAACAAGCTTCCTAAAATGAAATTTCCACAACGTGCATTAACCAACAAGAGAAATACAGCTTAGCTTGAAGATTAGGATTATTATTATTTTGTGCTGGTGTTGGTAAGGTATGCGGATGATGGAAGACATACGGTTTCTTATCCTACGAGTGAGTATTAGATAACAAATAGATTGATACAGTATAACTCACATAATTCAGATGCTAACTTCAGCAGCGAATGTTTCACTTTCCGAATGCTGATACACTACAAAAATCACACAGACTAGATGAGATTCTTCACTACCGATAAAAATAAGACCACTAAAAAACACCACCAAGAATTATACCTACATAGATGAAGAGAAATTTGACAAGTACATGATACTTGAAATAAAGAAGGGATGTCTTCTAAGCATCATCCTTTGGTATACAAGTTCTAACTGTGCTAACTGTTTGATCTAGTATATATTCAGGTATGCTAAGAAAGTCAGTTTATTTTAGATACATATATTTACACTGTTACTTAGTGTCAGAGGTAAGCATATTTCAGCTTTGATAAATATCATTGGGGTGTCCAAAAGGTTAAATGTAAGACAATACCACCAAAGATGGTCTTGACAAATGTAGTGTTATGAAACTGTGCACTTAAGACTTGTTTATTCCAAATTCTTAATCGGAATTGTTTAATCTCACAGCTTTACTTCTTATACTTAATAAATAAATCTTAATTCTTGTTTGTTCTTGAACTATTTCACTACGATGTATTGTTCAACATGGAAAAAAAGGATGTGGTGACATCCTAAGCTTTATTCCCTTGAAGAAAAGGAAGAAAAAAAGATTGAAGAAAGTCACCAATTCCCAGTGCACTGTATAACAGACTACAATTAAATCAACCTAAACAGCTGTCCAGAAAAATAGTTTTCTTCAGAAAAACTCCCAACAACAAAAGCAAATAATCCAAGATGACTTACAGAAAATAAGTTAAAATAGAAAGAAGCAAAATATCAGCTAATACTTGCACTTACTGCCTATATCTTATTCAAAGCTGGTTTTAGATAAAGGCAAAGTGCAGACCTTCAAACCAATGGGGGTCTTTCCAGAGGCGCTCTGGAAAGAGCACTGAGCGCGTGACAGCACATACCTCTCATCCTCAAGGGCCAGATAAAAACAAATAAATAAATGACAATGGATGCTGCCATCCTGCTCAATAATAAATACACAGAGCATGAAGCAGCTCCGAGCTCACCTGTTCTTCCCCTCCTGCTGCTGCAGGGCACAAACCAGCCTCAAGTTCGAGAGCCCAACAACTGTCCACATTTAAACCATTCCCAGATAGTTATGACCATCACCTAATGCTTGTGAAGCACTGAAATGATGGCATTCAAACATCAAAGCACTTCCTCATGACCTCTGGCATCCCCATTTATTGGGACGAGATTATCTTTTACTTCAGCTGACACGGTGTATTGAGTATTCTTGAATATTAAATTACTAAACACATTCATTAATTCAATTTTTGTATAAACATACCTAAAACACAGCAAGAGGTTCTTTGAACCCATATGTGAACCTCTCTGTGCACATGACAACAGAAAACCCATATTCTGGCCAAACATTACAAAACACCTGTCTCCTCCGTTTTTACACTTGATTCTCCTAGCCCGAAACATCCTAATTTCTCCCTTGCAGAAATACACACCTAACCGCATATATGCGCTTAAAAGTGGTACATACACGCACACTTACATAAGCCATAACTCAATGCCCCCAAACAAGCTTTTTTAGACTTCCCACATGACAAAAATCCCACGTGCAGAGGTGGAATTCTCCTGAAGCGCTCTCTAAAGAGCTCCTCAGCAATCCCTTCTTGAGGCAATCATAAACGACAAACCTACTGCAGATTTGCACACGCATGCTCAGTACTTCCAGAGTATCTTTAGTATTGCTACTGGATAGATAACCTATTATAAAGGGTTAGCATTTTTCACTTCACCTCGCTACAGCTTATTTGAAAGTATGGGATGTGTGCGTGTACGCAGAATCTGAAGAACACCTCACTTCAATTTTTGGAAATTACAAGTTGTCTTGACACGTGCCTTAAGGAAATGCTTCTGATCTTCTCCTAACTTTCCAGATGACCCAGTCTGTCACAGTGATTAGTTAGAATATTGCAGCTATGCATAGACCCACTTGTTCACTAGTCTGATTTATTATTTCATTTACTAAAGTTAAAGAAACACAATATTCTTTACAGAGCACACAATCAATAATTAAGGAGGACTTTTTTTGTTAAAGAAATTGAGAAGAAAGCAGCTGTAATGAGACTAACAGAGCTTGTAAAGATCACCCTGAAAGGGGTGAGGGGCAGAGGTACTACTGCTCCTATAAAGTTAATAAATATTGTGCTAAAAGTTAATGAAATGAGATTATGCCTAATGGAATTCCTCAGGTAGTTCAACAACTCCCCAGCCACAGGGAATACGTGGTAACATTTATAGAAGATACAACACACACTCATTTCCATAAATAAATAAAAACAACAATTAAAAAAGAAAAAGAAAAGTAATGGCAGAAGGGAGAAAGGGGTAGCCCAAAAGGGAACGTATTAGCTAACAATCACTTATAGCTCTGCCTTATATCTATACTCCCCTTATCCCAAAAGATGCAAGGGGAATAGTATCTTCTTTCAATACACACATATATATATATATATATACATATATATATATACACACACACACACAGATATATACAGACACACACATACAACCTCATACTTCGATCCAAAAATTAGTATTTTCCCTTTAGCACCAGGCTTTCCCAACAGTAGGGGGCTTATCATTTGAAACATTAACGTTTACTTTGTGGAAATGCCAGAACAACAGGAAAACATGCACTCTTCTACCATCACATATCTCTAAAACAAAACTGCTCACTAACGTCTTCTCCAAGAACAGCATCCAATCCATACCTATTCTGCTGTGTACAGTGCATGCAAGGATCTGCTATTTTCTTCCAAGGTATTAAAGAAATCTTAAAAATGGATCCATTATGTGTTTTCCTGCTTGCTTTCCAGAAACAAAAATATAGCTAACAACTGGTTTGGTGAACACCAAGCCAAGAAACAACCAGGTGCTGTACAAGTTGTGCTGCAATGTTGTTCAAGTGATTCCGCAGTGGAAACTTGTTATTGTCTGTTTGCAGGCGTTGCCTTACTAAGGAAACAGCATCTTTGACCAATGTGGATACTTGATTATTTCCTCTGTCTTTCTACAGGATCCTAAAATATATTAAGGGATTTCTTAGTGTATGTCTTAGTCTACTTAACAATATAAATAATTCTCAGCAGCATTTCCCACCTCCTTCAACTCCTCTGAAGTTATTCATTTCCGTACTTTAAATGATTTCTAATAATCAAGTAGTGCAACACAGATGCTCCTTGCAGAACAACCTAAAACTGGAACTAGACAAAATAAGACAGCAATTGCCATTTACAGGAATCAATCACAAGCGGATTGGTCTAAACAAACAAAAAATAAAATAAAAACAACAAAAAAAAATCACCACACACAAAAACATACTGAAAAGGCCATTAGTGTCAGCTATCCCCGTTTCAGATCAGCACAACTGGTGGACTCCTAGTCTACTGTTGGGGAATTGCAATGCCGTCAAAGCGAAGCCAAACATCTTCCTAGTCATCAAGCAGCATCTAGCCCTATTCAGATTTTAAGACAAATAGCACTTGATTTAAAGCTGATTAGCAAGTTTGCGCTTGGAGGTTTGGGGTATTTTGTTTGTTTGTTTCCCTGAAACACGGTTTTAGCAGCTATTCAGAGAGGATTCTGCTGTGACCAACTCAACAAGGTTAAGGAAAAGTATGCAAGCAAGCTAACTTGCACAGGTATGCATGGAAATTACTATACCTCTACCATAGCTTCATCTTCAACAGATTGTTAAGAATCAAACCCCAGAAGTAGAGAGATATGTTTAAAGTGACAAAAAGATTAAGCATTTTTCTGGAATCCATGAGAGAAGGTGGAAGCAGCAGTCACTTGGGATCTTGAGTGTTATATTCAGTCTCTCCTGATGAGATCTGGCTGAGCCGTTTGCTTGATCCCCATAGCTTTCGGGAAAGCTGACCTGAGCGCATCTGTTCAAAGTAATCCAGAGAAACAAAAGGAGGGGGAAGGGATAAGGTGGATAAATTAAAAAGGAACTTCAGACACTGATTCTGGTGAAGTGCAGACACAAAAAGGTACTGCATAAACATAAAATTACACCAACAAAAATATTTAAAAACAAATAAACCAAAAGATACATTTCGGGATGATTCTTGGGACTGACACAAAACAACAGACAAAACACTAATCACTGCCTTTTCTGATTTTGAACAGTTAAAAGGGATATTGTCAAGTAATGGAGTCTTAATGCTTAACCTACTTTAAATGGCTTAGAAATAGTCTTCAGTTTAGATTGCCATTTCATTAGAAAGAAAAAAATAAGAGCTCAACGTCAAGCGAAAATGAACCAAATTAGCAGAAAGGACATTTTATTTTATAGATTTCAAATAAAAATTGCTAGACTTGAAAAGGAAAAAGATAACTGAAACGAATCCTTGACAATTTCCTTAAAATGATGGAATAATGCAGAGCAGTGATGGCAGAAGGAGGGAAAGAGAGAAAGGGCAGCTCCTCTTGTCAAATTTATACAGTCTTCCAAAGATGCTGGGTGAAGTACTCAGTGTAAAATTTAAACCAGAAATAATTCATACCAAATATTCCATAAGTAGAGACAGATTACAAGCAACCAGAGGCCATATTAAATCCAGCATCCAGTGAGTCTGCCATCTGACCTCAATTTGTTAAAAAAACAAAACAAAACAAAAACAAAAACCCACTGCTTTAACTAACTCCTTAAATACACAGATTATGACTGGCCAGTAGTGATCACAGTCCAGCAGCTGATTAGGATAGGAAGTCTCTTATAGTTTAATAAAGAAGATGCATGCCTTAACAGCACAAGTTCAAAAAAAGTTTCCAATGGTTAATACTACAAATGAGTTTGACTAAGACCTGTATCATCAGAGCAACAGTGTTCTAGGAAAGGCATGGTGCTGAAAGGGATCATCACTACCAGGCGATAACCCCACTGATTTCTGTAACATCCCAAACAGCTAGGTAATTTTTAAAATACAAAAACATTTGTTATACTTCACTTCTGATCATATTGCCAATGCAGAAAGACTAAAGGCCAATCTTAATACCAAACAGCACTTCATTTTATGCACAGTAAACTATTTAGAAGGTATCTCCCTTTAGTCTAAGGATCAGTATTACCAAAAGCCAGAAATAGTGGTGTGCCTTCTGCATAAAGAAATTAAAATTCTAATAATTCATATATTCATTCCAAACTAACTAAATAGTCCCTCTACTTTACAAATATATTGATTCATGTCATAATAGAAAACTGGTAAATCTGGGACCTTTTTTTCCTTAGATGGTTGTCTTAATCTATTTACATGGATATTAATCTTGCAGATCATCTGTATTATAAGCAGAAAATATTGGGGAAAAAAAGCTGTTTGAAAGCCTCTACATCCATAACAGGAACCCAACCCAGTCTTTGAAAGAACATCTGCTTCAGAATTAGAAAAACAGATGCAATTAAGAACTGAAAAAGAAAACAAAGCTTTCAATCTAATGAGATACATACATTTCAGCCTACAAAAGATCTTTTCTCAGGGATAGGAAACTTAGAAGTGACAGTGACTAAAACTGTCATTACAAAGATGTGTTTAACCACATTAGAAGCAGTTCTTCATCAATTCTACAACAGGAAAAAGCTGTCCCAGTGGACAGGTCAGTGGAAACCTCCCCTTTCCATCAGCTGCAAGCAAGATCAGACTAGCATGCTCTGAAGCCTGTTTCTAATATTAAACTGTGTGTATCCTACTTAAAACATTTTCAAATACTGACAAATAAAGTTGTCTTAACAATCAGAATATAAAATTAAATTAACACAGACTTTTCTGATATGTGTTGAAGGTCATGTAGAAATGATAATCACAATTCCAAATAAATACACTGCAGCACAATGGAAATTGAGTTATGGAGGAGGCAGGTTTAAGATAGTCATGACAAACAGTACTTAAAGGAAAACCTCCATTTTCTGCAAGAAAAACTGGGCACAGCTATTTGACAGATGGATGCTCTGCATTTGATATTGCATATGCAGCACCAACAAGTTAATATTCACCATATGGAGCACAGAGCATATTGGGAACCTACCAAAATGATTCTTTGTGCATGTACAATTAGAGATTCTTAACAAAGATACTTATTTTTTCTCAATGTCAGTCAACGTGTATTAAAAGGCATCTGACAGAAACCATAAAACGTAAAGAAAGCAGCTTACTCTCTCTCGTTTCCAATTTTCTTCTGGAAAATTATTTCATCAAGAAGAGGCTGACAACACTAACATGTTCAGAAAAGGTTAGCTAGTAGGACTTTGCTTATTCGGATGTCAGTGATAAAGTCTGGAGGTTAGTCCAACTGAGTTTCCCATCTCCAGTCCCTATATACCTTTGATTCTTATTGAGAAATCTCAGTAGAGCAGTCTCCAAAGTTATTTCTTCCCCACTGAAAACTGAAACTTGCTCTTAAATTTACCCTGCCATAGAGGAGACCTCTTGCTCAACTGGAAAGCAGAAATAATTGAATTTCCCACTGTTCGGTAGAGAAAGTTCTTGATGGTGGGTTTTACCTCTGCTGGCTTGCCAACACCAACGATAATCAACTTGCCGTCCTCCAAGCCAACAAGGATGTGGCTATATTCTTTCGTGACAGAAATGCAATGAATTGGCAGTCGCATAGCTAAGGGGGAGACGCTCAGATTCAGGCTGGAATGAACAAAAACCACATAGAGAAGGTACATCATGTATTTATCCGCACATACTGCAAGAACCACGCTGCATTTGAAATTGCTGTCTCCAGGATGCTCCATAAAACACAGTTTCCCAAGTACCCAGTTTGCAATTTCAGTTATTGGGATCTCCTAAGGAAAGATCAAATCACACCCCCAGAGTACAGCTCCAATAACAAGGAAGGGCATAGATGGGCAAATCAGTAAATTAAGACATTCTCTCTGAACAGCAGCAACATTAGTCCTGCAATTGCCTCAGTGACAAAGATCATTCCCATTCTGAAGGACAATGGAGCTACACAGAGAGTAGGAATAATCAGAGTTTAAAACTGAACTCAGAACCGCATGAGAACTACATCCTGCTGACGCTAAGCTCCCAGTGACCAACTGGACATGGGGATAATCACAGCTGGCATGTACCAGACATCCCTTACTAAATTCTGTCAATCCCAGCCCATACTCGGGATAAATGGCTGAAAGGAAAGGGGCCTGGTTTGACCTCTCATTTTCCATCCCTCCCCCAACCCTGGTTCTCCAAAATGAGTTTTTCCAGCAACTGCCAGCGCCTACATCATCTCTGGAATAAGAACGGAAGTCATAGCCCCCATGAGCTCCGTGTCACACAGCAATTTGTAAAGAAGCCTTTGTATTTGCAGCTCAATAATAAAAGCATTGATGCTGGTACGTTACCTGTAGAGATCCCGTATGGAAAGGAATCCCTGCAAACTGCCCATCACAATATACTCGCCAGTCACACACATATCAGATACTTCCTCCTTCAAAGTCTCAGAACCCAGATATTTTCCATTGACAGAATAGAGATGTAATGCGTTCTTATCCTAAAGAGATGAAAAATAACGTCATGGAGGATGGACTGGATTAAGAATGTATTACTTGCACCTTCAACTCTAACAGGAGTTAACTTGGGCAGTAATCTATAGCCAAGATTCCTGACAGCAATTTCCTTGTTGAATGATACGAGACAACTGAGCCCGCATCCTATGCGCAACTTACATGTATAACAGATCTTGTACGGACCTTCTTGAAGTTTTAACTCTTTATTTCTTGGTGTAACTTCTTACCTGTCCATCTGATCAATTCCAAATTTTCAAGAAACATTCATGGAATTAATGGGCAGGTCCTTATTCTTTCTGAGGGTTTTTGTTAAGGAAGAAAGGGGAGAACACCCCTTTTTATCTTTAACCCTTCTAGGAAGCGAAAAGCAGAAGGAAATGTTTATTTCACAGAGCTACAGGTAAAAGCACTTTCTGGACAGGGCAATGAATCTTGATGGATTAAAGAACCAGTCAACATGACCATCTTAAATTTTTCCAGCCTGACAATACTACGGTCTCAACTCTCTCCATCCTCCCAGTGTAGCTAGAAGGCCTAAATCCAATAAACCTGTCTTCCAGGCAATTCCCCATGCTCATCGAAGTCACAACAGCTCTAGCTTTATCAGAGCAACTATACAACCACTCTCACAATAGACTGAACAAATTACACTGCAAACTTTATAACTCTTTCTTCAACCCAGGGCTAAGAAATACTAGTGTAGTCCCAGGGCATCTTGCATGCAAAATTTGCCCCTTTCTTTATAAACCTCTACTTCCAGGAGTAGAACTGGTTTCCCCCAGTTTTGCATTCCAAATCAGCTCTCCCAGGAAGATTCACTAGTGCATGCTTGAGCATCTTCCTTGCAGGTGGCTAGGAGATTTTCATGAAATCCATGAGAACGCAATATGTCTGCGATTTTTACCTCTCCATCAAATTTCACTAAAATCAGCTAGTAGGAAAAAAAAAAACAAACATGCACTATAACCCACAAGCCATAGACAAAACAGATACTGCAGGAAAAAAAAAGCCTCATATCTTTAGTAAACTAAGATAAAATTAAGCATGTTTATGATGAAAGTCTTCAGCAAAACAAGCAAAGGTATTCCATGAACTACAGTACCTTAAGAGTGGTCTTTCCTTCTATGCTGGTGTGGACAACTATATGACCTTCCCAAGACACAGCCAGGTTGGGAACGGTCAGCAGGAGAGAACTCTCACAAGGTGGCCGCAAAGTCCTCATGTACTGACCTTTCCGAACAGTGCGGATAATAACAGTCCCATCCTGCAGACCAAGTTTAGGTAAGTGTTCTTACTCAGCAACAACCTCTAAAGTAAATTACAGCAACACATGGAAAGAGTATTTAAAAAAAAAAAACAAACACTTGTGATAAAGAGGGCGTATTTTGAAAGCACTTAAATCCTCAACTGAGGATCAGGCTTCTTGAACGTTAGGAACTCCACACAAAGAATCCTTCCCTTCAAGGCCTCATCATACAGGCATATGGAGGAAAAAAAAAAAAGCACAAAAAGGGCAAGAGGTGAAGGGGAGGCAGCAATCAACTATTTCACATGTCACGGGAGACAAGGATATCAGCATTAGGTGCAGCAGAGGGTCAGCATTAGGCCAGCATAGTACAGGAAGGCAGAGCATGAGTAAGCTGCAAAGAACCTTCAAGGCTAAGCAAGCAGGGAAGCTCTGTCACAGAATTATTTCTATGAGAAGTTTAAGTTCTTCAAATAAGTCTGCACACTTTAAGTCTCATCTATCCAAATATAGTACAGGATGGTAGATGAGGCCTATGCTGTGTAGAGCATAGTTTGAGTCAGACTGATTTAAGCATGCAGCAAGGGAGATGGTACATGTCATCTTCTCGATGTGCAAGGCTGAAGAAGAAATCAGGAAATAGTCACGTTTTTGGTATCACACTTAATCAACTCCAAACATGCTCTAGAGTTTGAACAGAGAAGAAGCAAAGAAGGGGAAAGCATAAAGATGCTTACCCTGGATCCTGACACTGCCATGTCCAGCTCAGTGCTGATGCCAACACTCGAAACTTCATCGGTATGCCCATAAAGGATCTGCAAGGGCTTAGGTGCCAGGCCTACGGGCACTCCTCCCTGAGAGTAACAAAAAGTGCAATGACACATTCTCTTGCAGCTGAAGGACAAACAAAAAATAATTTCTGGTATCTTCAGAAACTCTGGTGTGAGATGTATATTTGACATAGGCCAAAGTCACAACTCACCCTTTCCAACCTCAAGTTACTGTCTTTTATGTCAGCAGCCCTATTTATGAAATCACAGGAATGAATGACCATACAATTACTATGTGGATGTGAAAGAGTTGTTCCGCTGAGGTGTTTCTATCCCTTCACGTGAGCAGGTGTGCAAGGATCACAGTAAGCACTCCTAACAGGAGTGGTTCACCCACCCACTTTTTCCTTCTTTATGTATCTGGGCTTGTTCAATTCCCGCAGTTTACCTTGGAATTAAGCATACAGTAAAGCTCAAAGAAACTAAAAGCTATTTTGCTCAAAAGTACAGCAACTTTGTTCCATTTTCTAAGGAACGATAAAGAAACAATCCCTCTGAGTGACTGCCACTAGTATGAGATACAGTGGAAAGACTGCAACAATGCACATTAAAAAAAAAAAAAAAGTGAGGCATTTGCCTATGTGACTGCAGGATATCAAAACGATCTAGGACTTCTGTTCCAGTGAGTGTACTGTCAGCATATACAGCCTCATTCTCAAATCAGTTCGAAGGCAAGTCCTGTGCTTAAAGGGAACGTGCGGTGAATTGCTCTGCAGAGAACACTCTACTCTGGTTGGTGCGATAGAAATCTGAGTGCCGACCAAGCCCTGAAAAGCTGAAGCATACAGGAACGCAGAACGCATCAGAACACAGAGCCGGGAAAGAAGGCAACAATGCCGAACAGAAGTGGCAACGCGCAGGACGTGGCTGCCACTATATAAAGACCACAATAAAACTCGTAAAAGAAGAATTTACAATACATACCACTAAAACATTATTTGTATACCTATTATGTAGATAAAAACGTAGATTAAAAATTCTAACAAAAAGCAGCTCCTATCTAAACAGAAATAAGTCTCCAGAGGAGGAATCATCATTTAACTCACTCTGAAAAGATAAACTCGAAAATTCCCCAGTGTTTATCCTCATCCGAGACCAAAAATACCACTGTGAGCTCTAGGGCCTTGCCTTTCTGACCATGCACCACTGGCATGATGTACACCGTTTCTTGAAAGGACTACATTTACTCTCACCATAAGGACAGCTCACTGACAGGTGATCTCTTTTTCACAGCATGCTTCCATACAACACACAGTTTTGCATACTGTAGTGGTTTTAGCTGATTTTAGTTCAGTGATAAGAAAAAGGTGACCTGATCAAATGAACTGTCCATAAGACATGAGAGGAACCACCCTCCAATTAGTGCTATTTGCACATCCATGATGCAGCAATCAGAAATGAACATTTAAAGCACGTGAGGCCTTTCTGTTGTTACATCTTGTGAGTTTAAGTACACACATGCATCACAACACCTCTTTCATCATATGAAAGCACAAGACCAATATTAAAGCTTTCTAAAATGCCACTGTAAATCCAGGTAACAGATTAACGTCTTTGCTAACTCTGGGCTTGCTTATTAGTACTTCCCGCAGAGCGAAAGCGACACCAAAATGCAGCTACTATGCTAGCAGCAACCTGGAAATGTAAAAATCCTCAACTATAAACAGTGCTCTGACTAGTTCCTGCAGTCTTAAGCAAGTGTCACTCCCATCTGTACAACAGGGATAATGTTTGCCTACGATGAAAATAATCTTTAAAATCATTAAGAGTGCCTTTAAAAATAAAGAAAAGTAACCTCAAAGCATTGTCATTGTTATTGTACTCCAGCTCCATAGCAACTAATAAGAATAGTGAATATTTCAAACACAGGCAACAACTGGCCTAATAAAATTATTGATCTAAACAGTGTTTGTGGACCGTTCTACCCTGCAAATCTGAAAGAAAGAAAAGAAACCAATAAACCATCATAACAAAACAACGCACAACAAAAAACATTCAGAAATTGCTTCTCATAATA